GCAATGTGGATCCCGAGATCTGATCGGGCTTTCGTCGCGGAGTCTTAGACACGCTGAAAAGAGGTCTTGCTTGGACAGAAACCATGGCAAGACATACTTCAGGTTGGACGCCCTGCCACCGTGGCAATCACATGATCATATCTTGAAAATGGGTCTTCCCTTGATAGAAGGAATGCACAATTCAAATGCTTATAGTCAGAGCCTGCAGTTGTCGCACGCTCGGATATTTCTGAAGACAGCCTTTCCGTATTCGTTGTTGCCTTGCGCTGCCAAACATTCAGCTTTTGATCGAAGCTGGACATGTAGACTCGACCCTGTACCTGCCAAGCTTCAGCTCCCAGATGAGTTCATGCTCGAACTTGATTCTGTATGTGCCATCCAAACATGAGATCCTTTCGAGCCATCCCAGATGAAGGGGATAGTCAGGTACATATGACTGGCTCACGTTTGAGCGCAATCCTTCAAGCCATCCGACCCCACGCTTCGCACGCTTGCTTGTCACATGACTTGGAGATCCAGCAGCAAGCTCTAGATCTAGTTCCTGCGTATTTTGGCTGTAAACTCAGCCCCCAACCTCCTCAAGATTTTGCTTACTCCCCAAATCATCTCGTGCTCCCATGCTGGGGCGAGGGCCAGAAGCGCTGGGCACACTGAACTTTGACACCTGTGATAGATATGTTCCAATCCACAACGCCTAACAAATTAGTTGGGGCGACATATAGTTTGGCACAGTCACAAGTTGCTTGCGCTGCATAATGCAAGTTGCGCTTAGCTCACGTAAGGGTTTCCGAGCATCTGACTACCCTGCGCAGGTGAGCATGTGCTTACATGGTGTCCACTTCTAGGACTTGAGGAAAGGACATATTGGGCTCCCCCTTGTTTCTCAGAGAGCAGTGTAGCCTCGTGTCTGTTGAGCAGTATCTAGTTCATGCCCATCGTTGTTTAGTTTAGTACTATTCTCGCACAATTACATGGTAATAATTCGGTCGGTAAGAAGATGATAATGATAGTAAAAGGTCCCGAGACGATGATGTGCATGCCTCGGCTTTCCAGCTGGCAGATTGCACAGCAGATTCACCTTTGGTCGGATGAATGGAACAAGGGATTGAGAACTTAGAGGCTGCTAGTGTTTTTGAGGCGTGTGGTCCGCATGGCCTGCTACCACTGCTGGCATAAGCAGTCATGGGCGGTTCTGCTTCACTGCGCTGACGACAAAACTGAACCACAAACCCTGTGCAGATGCATGGGCTTCAGAAGCGTGGATCCACAGGTTCAGGGTGTGAAATCCTGGAATGTAGGTTACTTGCAGTCACAAAGGTGCCTGTGAGGCGCGTCTTCTCGATGTGCAAAACCGCAGAACCCAAAGCATTCTGAACTGAATCCTCATATAACAATCACATTGCCCAATCCAATCAAGATGCCTTGGCCTCTACGTAAGCTGCCAGTTCGTGTGCCTACAAAAATCATCCTAGCCATCAAGATTGGCTATCGATCTTCATGCCATTCCCGTGCAGGCCTTGCACTTTTGGCTTCTTCAAACTCATGCAACATGTTGCTGCTCCCTGTAGAGCCTCTTATCATCCCCGATGCCGCGTGCAAACGATTCTTGCCCTTACCAATTATGTAAGCCCTAAGTGAGAAGTAAGGCTGGGCGAGATGGAGGGACCACAGCACTGAAGGACCTACGGAAGATTCGCGAGAGATGCGATGGCAATTTGATTGGTGATGATATCAAAGTGTTGAACTGGAACCATGTCACTACACCCTAATGATAGTGCTGTGTTTTGGAGTGCGCTGATGTTGTCATGCTGGATAGTCTTCTTGGCCTTGTGGCAGAAAGGTGCTCACAAGCGGGTGGGGAGGGGTGCTGGAGTGATGGGCAGAGTGAACTTGGTATTCAGACTTTTCTTGTTTGTGACAGAGCCTGACAGATCAGAATATTATATCTGGTGGTTTGCAGGCGTAAAGCCTGCCTTCTTGCGTTATTGATCGTCATCGGGCAGCTCAGCCCACGTTACGATGGCATTGCTTCAACTTACAGCCAGAGATTCCTGATCACACCAGTGGGACTGTGCTGCAAGGATTGCTCATATGTCACATCAGTAGGTATGTCACCCGAAGTCGTGAAGGCTTCACTGAAGCCACTGGTCCGTGACGTCATCAACGTGTGCAGCTCAAAAGAGTTCGAGACCGCGCATAGGCCAGTGTAGCTTTCCTGGGGCAGGTTCAAAAGTTTAGGCCATGGCTCTCGAAGTTCTATCAGCCCAGCAAGCCTTAACTAAAGTGGAAAGAAAGCAGACACATTGTCAGAACATCGGCCCAATGCCTAAAGAGCTGAAGTCAGTGTATGTCAGTGTCCAAGACTTTTTGCCTAATGCTTCAAGCTCGCAATCCTGGCCCTTGTGAACATGCGTGGGCTTTCTGACACCAAATGCGGTATGTCTATGCTGCCCGTCAGGTCTCTTGTCTTTTCAGCTGGCTATTGTTGCACACATTTTTCAGAGAAAGATTTCGGAGTGCTCAGTCTGCTGGACTGCTTCTGTGCTGTGCTGAGGGTCTGGTCCCCGTGGACAAGGACCCGCAAGCAGTTGTCCAGACGAACCCCAGGGCTGGTCAGTAAACGGCATGCTTTGACTCGGGGCAGTTGTTGTAGCCCAGACGTGATAAAAGGTTGCTATGTCCTGAAGGTTTTGGCAGGTATATATTGCTGGCAGCCGAAGACTACGGGTTTAGCAAAATGCAGGATGGGTGGGGCCCCCTAAGCCACAATTGAATCTCTGACCAGTGGCGTAGAAGCAAAGTGCTGGTTTTACTTGAGAACCCTGCGCCCTCAGGTCCAAATCAATGTTTGCACGCTCCATAGCCTGACCTCGAAGCCTACCTGCTACAACCTGCATCCTTTGCCACAGAAGCAGGTCAACCCAGATAAAGTTCTCAGCAGAGATGTTAAAGTCGCTAAGTGAGGTCTTCCGGTTGTCGCTTGCAGGATTCCCTGAATGATGGACGTCTGAATCATGGCCGTCCCACGAACTTTCTGAGATTTTTGAAGACATGCAAACTCATACAGTCATCGAAGACATCCCGCAAAGGATGGTCAGTCGGAGGTACCACGCGTAAAGCACTGGGGTCTCAAGACAAGAGCAAGCGGATGCAAGATCCAGTGGTCGCACAACTTCCGATCAGAGTGCTGGACAGTTAGCAGTGAGGCATGGTTGCAGGAAAGAGTGTTCTCACAATGCTCAGAGTGTGAGTAGATGCAGACAACCGCGGTCTTCCGGGCCACAGAAATAGGTGGCACTTTCAGCGACGGCAATAGACCTGATGGCCTTTGTCATACACTCGCGGCAGCATTACCTCATCCATAGAGGATCAGACCCGGGTTGACATTCCAATGTCATTGCACTATCATCAAAATTGCCTTAGACTCGTTTCCTGCTTATGAGAAAATTATGGTGAGATATCAAATGCATGGTTTGTACTGTGGTGATGCAAAGTGTAGTACATCATCATCACACTACCAGTCCTCTTATGCTTACAACTTACAATTAGCCAATCCAGGACAGCGATGTCATTCAAATTCGGAAGGGCCGCGGCGGGCTTTTCGGCAGACAGGCCCGAGTTTCTGGGGTCAGCGTGTACAAGCTTTTTATGCTTCAGCTCTGGATTTATACGGCTCCTTGTTTAGTTCCAGCCTGTTTTCATCAAATCAATCTCCAGCAGTACTTGTTTCGTGGTCGGAGAGGTATGAAAGTGATCAGAAGGATTGATACACACGAGCACCCACTAGACTCCGAGCACTTAGGTTCGGTAATTTTTTCCAGGGTAGTTCCTAGCCTGAATCGGACACATACCACCATACTAGTCACCTAGGAAGCTCTCCAAACAGCCATCCAATTGGAGACAGCTAGTAATTGCCCTACATCGCTTTGCTATGGTCATGATGCCATCTGAGGATGACCTCAACTACTACAGCGTCTTCCAGGTTGCCTGGGTGTTGGGTGTTCCTTTGCCAGTTGGCAGATTGTGGTTGTAGTATTTTGTAGTCTCCATCCTTGAGAAGCAAGGATTCGTTTGGAAAAGCTTCGACGTACCAGCATACTTTTGGCGGCCATCGTCTGGAGCTGGGACAGTTTCTGTAGACACCTGCAGTTGCCAGCAGAAAGAGCATACTGTGGTGTAGTATGAAGTGACATGGTCTATACACCGGTCAGTAGACACGTGAGGAAATGACAGTTGCATATCGTAACGCTTCGGGCAGAGTGTCAGAGTGTTGAATTTCCTTCCGGGTAGCTGTTGGCATAATCACTTCGCATCTCATACTCCTTGGCACTCACCCTGCAAGCTTCGTTCCTACGCGAGGGCCACAGCTGCTCGTTTGTCAGAGCTCGCCTTGTTGCCTTTCGCTGTCTGTTTTTTCTGAAAGAGGTACCCATTGCACTTTCAATTTAGTACACCTCCCAAAGATACGATCGAGCGAAACATAAGCGTGGGACCTTGTGTTCTTGTAACGGATGAAGGTGGTTCTCCCCCATCGCAGGATGTGCCACTCTCTCTCAAGGAGAAGCTGGTAGAGGCGCAGTGCCTTCCGCGGTTCAGAGATGTTTCAATGTCAAGCCATCAAGGTGTGCTAGCAGTTGCTTCGATGCTCCTGCCTTTGCTGTGACTTCCATGTTGCCAAGACATGCTGTTTGTCCGGTATTGTTGGCTGCTTGTATGGTTCATATGTATGTCACACTGAAGGATGCATCATGCGTTGCAAGAGGGACCAAGCTATTGATGCGCAGCCAGATTGAACCACCACCAACCCAGACATTCGCTCAAGCCAGCCCGAATAGATGACGAACAGCGCCTTTTTATTGAGGCTTCCGGCACTGCTTGATTTTGTACTAAACTTGTCGACCAGGATCCCCGGAATCAATAGCGCAATCCGGTAAGATTACATTACAGCCATTCGGTCGTAAAATTTGGGTGGAGTTGTGATGCCCAGTGGAAGCCGCCAGGCAGCTGGGTGCGACGACCTTTTCCATAGAGCTATGGGTCTCTGCCTCGCTTGACATGTCCCATTTCCTATCTCTGCGAGACAGGCGGGGCATTGATCAGACAAGGTCTTACCAGTTACACTTCAAGTCGACAGGTGTTAGGCGAGTAAGCTTCGGATTTTGTGGTCTTTAGAGGGTTTGTCCGGGATGTAACGCTCTTTTCGTGACTTACCCCAATGGCTGCGTTAGCGTTGAGTGTACGACTTCGGATTGCAGCCACCCCTCTCGGAAGGACAGTGAATAGACTGGAACGACACAGTCGGAAAAGTCAAGCAAGCCACAGGCATGCCCCTGGTCATGTTACCGTCTGCTGTTGGAAGAGACTGTCCAACCCCTTTCGCTGGAGTCTAAGTACCACATAAGCCCTTGACCTTAAGCTGCCTGGAAGCATCTCCCAAAGTGTGCACGCAACTAAGGACAGCCCCTTTACTCCCTTCATAGTAAGCCCTCGACCACACACCTCGCCACCACTTCTGTCCTCTTAGCGGTCTTTAACTTCGCTGAAAGCTTGACGTCCTGGTGGCTGTTTTGGCAGCAGGAAGCTCTACGATTCGAGATTCTAGACCTTTTATCTTGAATGCTGGTAAGCATCGCCCAGGCTGCATGCAGGGCATGGCTGTTGGCGACTCCTTGGGGTTGCGCCGGCACTTTTTCCTCGAGATGATTTGCTGTTCAGGACGCCAGTCCCGTTTTACAGTAAGCTGTCATGTCGCAGGACGCTACGCTACCAGCCTGGTGAGCGTTTCATTTTCTTCGGGTCTCACCTGACAATATATCAACACTTGTACTTGCGTAACCATAAACAGCCTGCATGCCTCAGCCGCCTGGCTCGCAACATCCGAATGTCATACCACGGGTGGTATGACAGACAGCAAAGCATGGGTTGATGCCAGCCTTCTGCAGGTGAGCCACCTCAAGCTTTCATCCCAATCCTGGGGCACAGATTTGTATTTGAGCTGCTCTGCAAGCGGCTGCCCTTCTGTAGTCGTCAGACTCGTGCAAAGCTCTGAATATATTCATCCTTTATACCCGTGAGGGATTGTTGCAACACTCAAGCACTGTGTTGGATCTTGAGCCTGAGGCCAACTTTGGGCATGTGATAGTATTTACCCAGCCGATGAGTGTTTCTGGCCGGAAATCAACCTGAAGAGCGCCAGGCATCCCTTCGAGTTCCTGCCTGTGCAAGCGGGGGCCGCAATGCTCTGGAGCTTGTGGGGTGTTTTAAGCAAGCGTGGAACTTGTTGTCACAAGGACAGGCCAGCTGGTCCACACTTTGACTTGGAACGCTTCGAGTTTGTCGGCGCGCCCACAATCTCAGCTGAACAGCTCCGGTGACATGCGTGTTTGGCATATGTGTGGCTCATTGAGAACGAACCTTTGCTATAAGGCTGGCTATGTGTGGAGCTTCCAACAAACGGTTCCTTCGATAGATAAAACCTTTTTGGCTTGGGACAATAGCCCTATTATAGGGATATCCTGTTTTGATTGCTTCTGTCATTGCAAGATGCTGCAAGAATGAGGTTGAGGTTGGGGGGTTCGAGTGTGCGAGATGCAAGGGTGCAGCAGAAGGCACGAAAAGTTCTCCCTGACACGGTTCCACCTCTTAATTAGAGTTGCCTCGCAAGCACGCACTTGATCCAAATCTACAGATGCGTGGTTGCAGGCTTCTTGTGGCTAAGGTCCAACACTTTTCGCCTCAAGCCGGGCCAGTGGACAGATGACGCAGCCACAGGCTCAGAATCAAGCCCTGGAAGCTGCGACGTATCTACCTCCAAGAACACATCTGTTTGCATTGATGTTTGTTTGATTCAAGGCCATGGGCCTTTGCATGGCAGACTCGCTGCTCATGAGGCAACCTGGAATGAAGCGATTCTTGGCTATGAGCACATGTAAAATTCAACCAGTGAATCGTGATGTATCATAGGGATTTCCTTCAATGCTTCAACTGTGACCTTGAACCAACCATGTCTCACCCGCATGTTTTTTCGATCACAGTTTCCCAGCACGTCCAGAAACAGTAGCATTGACGGCACCTCACAGGACGGCACCATAGCCCGGGGGCAGAAAATATATCAATCACCAAGCGGCATTTTCAGTTCACCAAACGACGGGCGTTTCAGATCACTAAAAGGGGAAATCCGATCACCAGAAGGTATTTCCCAATCACCAAACACATTTTCAAGCCACCAAAATCCAGAATCTTCAGGTCACCAAATCAAGGATTTTCAGGTCACCAAAAAAGATTTTCAGCTCACCAAATAGGACTGTCTGAGCTACCGAAGAGGCGCCCGAAACTCACCCAATCCTTCCCTCCTGCGGGTCACCGAGGTCTCTGGACTTATCACAGTACAACGATCGCAGTAAGATATTGAGTGCAAAAATGTCCTTGCCCCACCCTAACCTATTCTACCCCACCCCCTCCTACCCAGATACCCCCTAACTTTCCCCACCTTTCCCTACCCACCCACCACCCTACCCTAAACCCCGCTCCCACACTATCCCTAACCTACCCAAGCGCACACCACCTGGCATACCGCAACCATCCATGCACCCAAACCACCTGCCCTACCTTAACCTGACCTGACCTAACCTAACCTAACCTAAACGCACCAACCGCGCCTAACCCACCATAACCATCCACCATCCGACCGTAACCACCCACCACCCCCTGGAACCTGGCACGACCTTTACCCACCCTGACCACACCACCCACCCACCCAGCAATACCCTTACTTACCACCCTAACCACCCGGAACCACCCAGCACCCTACCCTAAACCCCACTCCTAGCGCACCACCTGGCATACCGCAACCACCCACCACCCTGCCCTAGGCTACTCTACCTAGCTAACGGTCCGCCACCCAACCTGCCCTTCCCTAACCTAACCTAAACGCACCGACCACACACCACTAACCGCCTATCCTACCCACCATCCCACCATATCCCACCCTACCCTACGTCGCCATCACGACCCTACCTTCGCTAACCACCCTCACCCAACCTGCCCCAACCACGCCCGTTTGGTGAATAAGACTGAAGGCTCCCAGGTTGGCATCATGTTGGTGATCCTGGAGCCCGTTTCGGTGAACCGAAAACGCAACTGAATTTATGTCTTGGTGGACGAAAATCTGTTGGTGATCGAGCCAGACTGGTTCCAGAGCCCAGGTTTTTGAAAGGGGACTCTTCCCCTTGACAATCTATATTTAGAAGGGTTGGTTGCCGACTTTTCAACTCCGTGTATGCATGCAGGCTGCAGGCTCAATTCCCGTGGTGCGGCTACCCACTTTCTTGGGAGCCTCAAGCAGAACGTATGGCATGACCTGTGTTGAGTGTCAAGTTTGAGAGTCTTGATTCCATGCTGTTTCGTTAAAAGTGTGACCCCGCATCTCTTTCCAGAATCACATGATGCTATTGCCAGTAGTTCTCTTCACCTTGATCGAACATAAGAGTGTTTGTTGCTGGGACTGGAGAGGGACGACTGTTTTGCAGGCGCGAGTTTGACGGAAGCGACATGAGGCTGGGCAGCTCGATGTGTCTATTGAATGAGCGACAACAAGCAACAGCTCGTTGTTGCGATTTGCAATCTGAAGTCGTTCCGCTTTCCTGGGCTTAAGCAGCCAGCGGTGGCCAAAGTGACTCATAATTACCTTGCCTTGCAGAGCAGAATGGACCAAAGAGGAAGACGGTATACTCCCTACAAACGCTAGCATTTCGCGGCCACAACCGTAAGCGGCATGACTACCGATCTATTTAGATATATCTATTTAGATATATATATATATATATGTAGACCTACATAGTCCTTTCCTATTCCCTGGCGTCCTGAAGTGCACCCTGTTTGCGAAACCCCCGCCTTGGCCTCAGAAAGACCGAGATGGGCAGTTTTGGTACCACTGTGGTGCCACTGTGTACAGGGTCCGCTTCTGGTGCTGGTGGAACCGCGGTTACAACAACGCATTCCGCAAGGACTGCTGTCTCTCGTGAGGGAAAGAGCTGCTACCTTAGCAATAACTCGCGAATCGAAGCAATTATCCTCCAGTTTGACCTCACAGAAGAAGACTACAGGCCCCCAGTGACTCAGTTGTCTCCGGCCCTGCCACGACATAAGCCTGATAGGAGAGCATGCGCGAGTAGACGCAAGAGGTGGCATGGGATCCTGATTGCTTTTTACAGAGATCACGAAACCTAGCTTGCTGGCTCGAGTTCTCTTTCTTGATTTAGCAGTACAGCGAGGACAAGCTCTTGAAAGCCTCCAAGTATTGATCGTGTCAGAGGATCGGCCGGGGGAGAGGAATCTGAGGTGTTTGGAGGGGGGGGGGTCAGTGGTGTTTTTTCCACAGGAACACCAGCCTTGGGGGGATGGGGGGGGGCATGGTTCGAGCAACAGCATGCCGGGTGGTTGCATTAACTCTTTTTCTCATTCTGTTATGTTCAATCCCTGTGCAAGGTCTTGGTTCAAGCACCTTCATACCTCAAGTGACACCTCGCTACTCATGTAATGTTCACGACCCTGCCCAAGCATGGCAGGAACAGCGTTAGGCTAGGTGCTCCCCAGTCGTCATTTATTGGTGCGTGTACCCTTGCATGGTCATCGTACCAGACACATCACGCGTGGTCTTTGTGTTTGGCCTCCCTCCTTCTCTTGCAGCATCCGCTTCCCTTGTGTCATAATTGGTACAGTAACTCATGCCTGGCGGTTGCATCAAGTCTCTGGACTCCTTTTGCACCCTTTTGTGGTCCGGTGCGGGTGACGTTCTGTTCGGCGGTTCGTTTCTGTCGGTAGTGCTCAGCAAGCAACCTCTCGATTCACTATTCTTTGAGGCACTGCTTGTGGTTGCATCAAGTCTCCCGACTCCGGCAGTTGTGCGTGCACTTCTTGGTCATTGTACAAAAACATACAAAATCATCATGCTTGGTGGCTTGGTTGTTGCATGAGGACCCCATCCTCCTGCTGTAATATTCACTACCCTTGTTTGCCCATGATACAAACCATATCACGCTTTTCGGTTGCATGAAGCCTGCCTCCCCCTGTAGTGTTCACTGCGTCTGCCTGGTCAGGGTACGAAGAACAGTCCACCTGGTGGTTGCATGGATCCTCCTGCTTTTTCTATTGTGTTCACTACCTCTGCAAGGGCCATGATGCGGATCGCCTCATGTTGGTGATTGCATCACACCTTCTTCTTCCCTCCGTGGTGGTCACTACCCTTGCAAAGGTCATCGTGCGGGTAACAGCATGATGATTGGTAGCATCAAACTTCCCTATTCACTCGCAATGTTCATTATTCTCGTGTGTCCTTCTTACGAGTAAATCCATGCGTCAAATTTCCCTCGTTCCTTCTGTACCGTTCGTTGCACTTGTATGCTTTGCGTAGTCCGTAGCGTTCTTCAAGCATGAATCAAATCAAATGTTCTTGGTGCATCCAACCTCTTGACTGTGGCGGTTAGCCACACCAATGATTCTTGGTCAAGGTACGAGCAACATCATGCTTGGTGGATCTTGGTGGCTTTGATTGAATCTTCCCTAGGTGTTCCGGAGTGTTTGGTAGCAGTGCATGGTCACTATACGCACATCCTGGTGATTTGCTGCTTCATCAAACCTCCCCATTTTCCTGCTGTGTTCCGTACCCTTGCATTGTCATGATGCCAAGATCTTGCTTGGTTGTTGCATCAACCCCCCCGATTCTTTCTGCAGTGCTCAGTACCCTGGTATGATGATACTCATGACGCGTTTATTCTGGTGGTCATATGTAACATGTCTACTCTCCCTGTACCATTCACTGCTGTTGCATGGTCTTGGTACGAGTCGCATTAGGCTGAGGCAGACTTCCCACTCGCTCTCTGATGTGCCATGCACTGGCAAGGTCGCAATGCGACGAACATGATGCTGGTAGTTTCATCAAGCTTCCCTGCGCCTCTCTGTAGTGTTCCGCCTCTGTAGTGCACCTCTGCCGTATCACACAGCACGTGAGCACGAGGCAGGTTGTGACAATACGAGGCAACAAAGTTCATACCCCTAAACTGGCATCCAAACCGGCCGGGCTCAGGCAAAGCTTTGCAACTGAGTGCTGGCCTTTGGTCCCCGCTTGCCACGGCCTCAAGCACGACTGATGGAAACCCGTAGGAGTCCTGACCCCTGCATGCAACGTCTTGATTGCAATGCACCTTCATTCTCAATCAGTCATGTTCCATACCTTTTCAAGGTCTTGGTTCATGTCACTTTGTGGTTTTTTTGCTGCTCTGCGAATGACATGGAGCTTGGTGGTGGGATTAAACCTCCCTACTCGTTGTTTGTTGGTGCGTACCCTTGCATGGTCATCGTGCTAGACATCACGCCTGGTTGTGGATTCAGCCTTTTTCCATCACATTTCCAGGGTTGCGTCTCTAGTGCATGTGAAAAAGTGCCAACGGCCACAGGGATGAGGCTGCTCAGGGTCGCCATCCTCGTAAGCGGGTTCGCTTGTAGATGGTCATGTCTTCGTGGCGTTTTGAAAATGTCAACGGTCACTGGGAGGAGGCCGCTCGAGCTCACCAGTCTCGTCACTTTTGGATGGTCATGTAAGCGAAGTTGGAAAGGTGCCAGACAGCTGTAAAAGTGCCAAGCTGCGATGCTTTGCTTGACAGGTGTAGCCAAGTGATAGCAAAGAGATGGCGGAGGTCCCCTAGTGCGCATGGCAACTAATACCGGAACCCTCGCACCACCCAGCACCATGAACAACTGCGCCCAAAGCAGCCGAAAGCTGGGCTGGAGACTTGGGACCAGGCGGTTCACAATCACATCAGCTCCCTCATTGCAGCCTCAAAGCACGCACGTAGGCATCCTTGTTGGGCCGGTGACCAAGCGCAGCAGGTCTCCAGGTCCATGCGTTCAGGCGGGCGCTTGCACAGCGAGCAAGTTACTGCAGATGATGCATGGCACCACTGGCTTGGGCAGTGTAGGCACATTGGCCGCTTGGTCGAGTGGCAGCACCCTTGGGGCACACACAAGACGTGCATGACCAATTACCAAGCCCAAGCCTGTCAAAGACATCATTGCCGAAAAATGACGAGTGCCATAGGGGCTGATACCCTTGTACTGAGTGCCATGTGCCAGGTACTGTAAAGAGCATAGCGAGTCATCTTCAAGCGTCAGTGCCCAGAGGGGTCCTCAGGATCATCAGCAACAAACATGGCAAGCGACAACACCATGTAGTGAGTGCTCATTTAGTAGGACTGGTTCGAGCCGTGGTGTTTAGAAGGAAAGGGAGAGACAGAGACCGCGTCTCACAACAATACATGAAGCGTGAAAACCCAGCTGACCTGTCTTTCAACTTTACGCGGTTCTTCATGTACTCCACATGTGTACCCCTCCGGCATGCAGCAGGACACCACGAGGAGTAGTTCAGTTGGTTGTGACCTTGGAACTTTGGTTCCGGCAAGCTGCAAATGACTCATGCTTGAAGTGTCTGTGTCAATCTCGCACTTAGGGTCCCATTTGGCAGGTACAGCATAGAGAATTGCGATCATTTGGATGGGTTAAGGTCATCCACGCTGTAAAGGTTGTTCACTTCCGGATGAAGGGGGCTGAGCCCAAATGCAGACATGTAGACAATTTCCGACATTGAAAGATAGCTGTTAAAGGGTTTGTTTCCAAGCAAATGAGCTTGTCGCGACTTCGAGAAGGCAGTGCTGGGCTTGTCTTGGTTCGTGAGAGTACCGCAAGAGATTTTTCTGTGGAACAGCCAAGTTGGGATCCCGAGCCCGGAAGTGAGGTCTGGGCGGCAACATCGCCAAGTCCCTCACAGTGCCTTCGGCCTGTGTTGCACGTGTCGTAAATTTGAACTGTTCTACATGGTTGAATCCACAGCGATTTGGTTGGGACAAAGCATTGCCTGCATGGGGCCTAGTGACCGTTCCGAGCACGGTAAATGCAATGCTTTGTGAGGTGCATACACTTGGGCTTGCAATCAAGGCATGAAATTCATGGCCAGATGTCCTGATCAATTGGAGCTCACATTGCAGAGTTGCATTGTTGAAGTACAGTTTGCCGGCGAAGTTTTGAAAGTAAGGCAGTACCGTTGATAGCTGCTTCCACAGTTGATGACTGTCTCGTCTCCATCTGCTGAAAAGCTCTCAGTTGCTAGAGCTTGCAGTCTCTTTGAGCATTCAACTGCAAGTTTTCTAGATTTTAAAATGGCAGATGATCAATCTGTGTTCCTGTACACCGTCCGCATTTTGTCTCTGACTGCGAGACTTGAGAGAATGGGAGTGTTGTTCTAGATCTCCACTACTCACTTGCAAAACCAGGAGGTTTCCCGAAAATTCTGAAGCCATCTTCAAACTTTGTGGACGGCGACCGATCACTGCGCCAATGAAAGGGCTGCCGTAACGAGCAGGAAGCGGCTAACATGAGAGCCCTCAGGGGTGTACTGTGGTAGAAGAACACATGAGTGGACCAAACCGAAACATTGTTGAGAAGCATGAACAAATTGAACAGGCAGGAGGGCAGCGGCCGAAACTCATAAGCTAAAGTGTTGTCATCCCTCCTTCGTGCACCTCGAGCCACAATCAATCACAGAATATTTTGAGACATGTAAGCAACTTTTTTTGTAAAGGGGGTTCGTTTTATTATAAAAGGATTTCAAACTTAGATGTCTCCTGGCATATGTCTCTGTTCTGTTGTTTTCCCTCTTTTTTAAATAAACCTGTTGCAAAAATTGGTGTAAGTCAATGGAACAGGTCTCATTTCCTGCTGGTTTGATTTTTTATGAGCTAATTTGGAAATTAAATGTCATGGATCATGCCCTAGTTTCCTTTGTGTATATCTTTATCAAAATGTTTCGAATTTAGATATCTCATGCATCATGTCCCATATTCAGTTGCTAACATTTTGTTTGCAAACCTGTCTTAGTGAAACACATCTCGTTTTATGTTGCTGTGTTTTCGTTAAACTTCTTTCACAATTAAGTGTCTTCTGGATCTTTTTTGGTTGTGTTGACATTTCTAAACCTCTTTCTAAATTTGGTGTTTTGTCACATGTCTCATGTTTTGTTGTTTGGGCTTTAAAAAGCTGCTTGAAAACTGGGGGTCATTTCCACCATGTCTGTTTATTGTTTTATAGTTGTTGATTTCATGTTTTTTGCACATAGACGGCATAGAAATCCCAACAA